TCTCTACTCTGTTGTTACAATACAATCTGTGATAATTCCACTTAAAAAAGCACCACTATATGATCTTTATGGCTAACTCATAATCATGCAGTTTAGATCTACCTCTCTATCTAACTAACTTAACTTGAACTACATTTTGAACATGTATTTATAGCCTGACAGAGATACAGAACTTTCAACACACTACGAGATATTATGATGCAATAAAACTCAAAACAATGAAAAAACTTAGAAGATTCTGGTAATGTGGCACAATAATACAACAATTGAATTACACAATGTTTGATTGGTAGACAGTTACATAAAAAAACCTGCACTAAACTAGTACATCTAAAAAAAAATAAATTTAACACTCACACTGTACTACTAAAACCATCTAAATCATAACATTTGCATTAATTTAAGCACCCGTGTATATCTAACACAGACCACTTGGGAACTGACAAACAGGAGTTAGTAGAATGGGAGCTCCCCAGCTGAAAAGTATATCTGGAGAGGTATCACTCACCACAGAGCAGGATCCTATATAAAGCACAGGGCCACTTTAGGAGAAGGAAATAAATACAAAGAAAGCTTACCTACTCAAAGTTGAACCAAGGTTTGTAGCATGGCAAAGGGAAGCAATCAGTTTCCAGAGAAGGAGGAGATGGCCAAATGTAAATAATGTGTGAAAAAAAGTGTGCCTTGTGGTCCACCTGCCGGCCTGGAAGATCTCCATCAACAGACGACAAAAAGAAAACAGCCAGGGATAAGGTGAGACGACAGATATAGCAGGCAGAGATAACAAATATATGATGGGAAACTAAAGACAAAGAAGAATAAGCCAACTGAATGAGTTGGCAAATCCAACTAGTAACAGTCACAGGGGAAATGTCACGAGTGGAAGACAGATTCCAATGAAAAAGTAAATGGGAACTGGAACTGAGTTAGGAAGAATTGCATTCAAATTAACATTAGAGAACATGAATCAGGCAGAGGAGATGATCTGGAACATAACAGGAATATAAAGGAGGAATACTGGTGTAAAAGTGATGATTCTCTCATGAGCCTGCCAAGCTCTTCGAGGGAAAACATTATTGCAATAGATACATGATAGGTCAAGAGTGAACACATCTGACCTATGACAACCACTGACAAAAATGAGTAAGTAGGTGGGATGAGGAATAGGTAGTCAAGGGTAAGGGCATTAAAAATGACATTGAAATCTCATTATTGAAGGAGCAGAGGAAAAAAAGAAAGGGGGAAACAAAAAGGATGAAAACAAGAGGGATATGACATGACAGGAATAAACGTGGTGGGAATGGGGAAAAAAGGGAAGGTAGAGCATGAGACCACCGTGTGGTCAGTAACAGTTAACACAAGCAGCCAAGTGAAATATGGAATGGTGAGGTATACAAGGACTTGAAGGCAAGTAACCATGGTGCAGAAGCCAATGGCAGAATATGCCATTGTCTCTTATAGACCACCAAGAAAGAAGGGCAGACAAAAGTCAGTTGTGAAACCAGAGTGAAACACCAATAAATAATACCAGAGGAGAAAGGAGGAAATGGATGAAGCTGTGGAACAACAGGGAAGAAAAGTTGTGCAGGTCATAAATGGGCAATGAGAAGGACACAATATGGAGTAGCTTAAATGACAGACAAAACTTAGGAAAGGAGAAATGATATGAGGGTAGCTATCAGTCCAGCCCAAACTGAAGGCATTCATTACCAGATATAAAAAAAGAGGGAGTGCAGCCTTGATGAGGGTGGCAAGTTTGATCAGTAGAGAAGCACCCCATTGGGAGCATAACTACAAGAATACCTGAGGAACACTTTTGGGGATAATCTTGTTGGAATGAGATAACTGATCCACAAAAAGAATGATAGCACCCAGAATGTGAAAATCAAACAGGTGAATGTGCAACGAGTGAACCCAGAAGAGGAGAACAAACATTCGAAAACAAAGTGAAGAGGAATGGGTGCTCCATAGTAAATAGTTGGAAGAAACAACAGTTGAAGAGTCAAAATGAGTCATGACCAACATGGTCTGTACTAAAGGAAGGAAATGATCCAACACTCAATGAACTACAAGAAGATCCAAAACAGTGATGTGGAACCTTGACCTAACCAGTGACCTCATGAAATTTCATATATCCCCAAAACCCATGAAATGTATCTGGTAAAAGGTACAACATGGGACAGGGAGATGGAAGAAGAATGCCAACCATGGTGGTGTCCTTGTAGAGCCACCAGAAAAAAACGACCTGTAGAGAGGGAGGGAGAATGAAAATAGAATCTGAGGGATCCTGAACAATATTTCTTAAATCATGCAATAACCACAGAATATTGTGTAAGGGGCACGACCAAAGTGAAGAAGTCCTCAAAAGTGATAGAACCTCATTAGCAGCAAATAAAAGAGAGGATTCAGCATTGATAACCATTAGCTTCAGCAAATGCAACAAAAAAGGAGAAGGCTGGGCCTGACTAAGGAAGGAGTTGAAAAAAACCTAAGAAAGGATGAGACATTGGGTCAGTACAAGAAAGGACTTCTCCAACTAAACAAGCCAATCCACATGTGGAACTTTCTCAAAAGAAAAACGTGCAAAGGCAACCAGTCATTCATGTAATGAAGAAAACTGCAGACAGTGTTAACGTAGAAGATAGGCAAAGATGAGTGAGCTAAAGCACAGATACAGGGGAATAATATAGGCATGTGAAAGGAAGCATCTGAGACCAAAGGGTGAAAAAAACAACGACTCCATAGCAGAATGAGGATGATAAATGAAATGGCTTAGGTTGGAGAATAATTACACGACGTCTACTCAGTTGTAACAACGAATTACAAAAACCAGGAATAGAACTCCAGATAGGGGTAACTGACCAGTAAGATAACATTTCAACTGAGAAGAAGCCCTACCAATTCTGATAGACACTGGCGAGAAGAAAAGGGATCCTAAGGCAGAAGTCTGAGAGGAAAGGGAGAGTCCTATCCACACATGAATCACCGAAATATCTACGACAAATGCATGTAGGAAAAGCGACTTGCACCCAAACCTGGAAAGAAGATACTTGGAAAGGGGAGGAAGGAGGAATGCATGGCACAGAAATGGGCCATAGGATTGGGAATGTCAAAAAACAAGGAGAAAAATCGACAAGAAGGTACCATTATGGACTCCAACGAGGCAGAAAAATTCTAAAACACTGATACTCGCTAATATGGCACCAAACAAAGGGCAAGGATGAACTGGAGGAGGGAGATGCGCTAGAGTAAACAGAGCACACCACCATGATGATCACACCAATGGAGGAGCCAAGTATATAGGTACAAAGGAAGAGAAAGAAACTGAGGGTATGATTCTCTCCCCAAAACCACACAGAGGGCTGGTGGATTGACATGTTGAGGAGAGGTGTGTAGAAAAGGGTAAAAAAGAAAATGGGAAGGGATAGACACAAATGGGTAAATTGAGTCTGGAAAAAGTACAGTACATTTTCAGGGTGTGATACCCATGCCTGAATGAAAGACACAAAGGTTTGAGAGTCCAAGATAAAATGCAGAGCCCAGAATGTAACTGGGGGTATGAACTAAACAGCATGGATCCTGAAATCCATATAGGAATGGTAAACTAGTAAGCATACAAAAGGTATCATACCTGGGAAATTATATCAAGGAATGGTTGACAAAAAACGTGGAAACATTCATTGGTGTAGCCCTTGACTTCACAGCAAAGGAATGAGGTAAGAAAAGGCTGTCCAAAAGATCAGCATGCACACCAGACACACAAAGGAGTGGTACATCTGGCCCTGGTAAAAGAGCCATATCAGGTCGTTTGATAGAAACTTGAGTGGATAAAACAAATTCAACCCACAAATTATCACGGAATAATGCAAAAACAACTAATTCATTTATTGAACAAATAGGCAAAATATAAAAAATGAAGTAAAAACGAACGAAATCAAAACACCTCTGCATTATAGTGAACCAAATCGAGAAGTGAAGATTGGATTCTACATTATAGAGGGATTCAGCTGCACTAGGAGGAGTGTTGCATTCCTATTAGTGGAGGGTTGTTGCAAGTTCATTTACATGCTGTGATGCAGCTGTAAAACATGCAAACATGTGGAAGAACAAGGCTAGTGGTGAGCAAAATTTTGTGCATATAGAGGGCAGTAGTTGTTGAGAAAAGCTACTGTGTGAGAGAGGATAGGTATATCAGAATTTGCATCATTATAACCAAATAATCTAAGAAAACCCACCCAATGAAATAACATTACAGAAATATCTTAAAAGTACTCTGAAGCATGTGCATATTCACTCTGAGATATCAAAAGTGTAAGTACTAACTCAAGTATTCCGACACTAAATATTGTATGGTTCAGCAGTATTCCTAGCATAATGTGTAATGTTTCTGAATAGTTTATACATGTCTTAAACTTCAAAGGTACCACAAACAATACACACATAAACATAATAAACTTACTTAAAAATATTTATGTATAAGATTAGTAAAGGCATATTTATGTTTTCTCTGTAGCCAATAAATTGTATGTCAACATGTTTGTTTTTTAATTTTGACAAATTAATTTTTTTATCAGAAAACGGAATTAATATGCTCTATCACAAAGAACCTGCTATTCTGAATAAGAATATTGATAAGTTCTCTAGAATATTCTTGATTCATTCCCATAGGTACCTTAAATTTGTTATTCTATTTACATATTACTCAAGTACATTCATTACTTTCACATAAAATTGTCAAAAATGCCCTTCCTAGATGTTTAGCAGAATAAACAATGTTCTCACTTAAAATATTAAGTTAATTATGATTGTTTAAATTTACACATAAATAATTTCACCAGTAGGACAAATAATAAAAACTAGAAAACGGACAGGCAGAAATTTAAAATTTAAAACTACTGATCAGTATACAGTGTAAAACACAAGGAATAACTGAAAATATCTTGTAAATTTTGCAACTGGCATAAAATTAATATATCAATTTAGCAAAAACATTAACTTACCAAATAATATATGACTGTGGGTATCTCCCATCATATGCTGGAAGCCAAGAGAGGGTAGCAGTGGAAGCACTTGTGTTCACTGTGACATTGGTAGGGGCATGTGGCATTCCTGAAATATCCACTAAACTCTGTATCAACAGGGAACTTTATGTACCTTCAAAGGTTATTCATAACATGTATATATATTTTAAGTATTACTTGGAAAGTTATTATTTTTATTCATCCTTTACAATTAGTGATTACAAACACTGAATTTTAAAATTACCAATATTATCCAACACAGTTTTGAAACCTTGCTTATTAATAAAATCTCATTCAATTAAACTTAAGTATTTGTAAATCTTACATTCAATGATTTTTACATTGCAATCACTGAAACATTTGTGGATTACTTGTATTTATATTTTATACCTATTTTAAGTATGGTAGTACTTAATTGTAGGGACCGACAAGGATTTCAAATAATTCATATGACAAAAAACCACCCTATCAAATTCCTGACCATTCAAAGCATTGGTTACAATATATTATGCGCATATATACTAATAATACACTAAGAAAGTTGCTAACATTTCCGATATAACAATTCAAAAATTTCAAAAACAGCAACTTTTTCATCTACTACCTACCGGATCGCGTCAGTGGGGATAGTGGCTAGACATATTGGATTATCACTACAAAATTTTCTCCAGTTTACTTGACTGGTCTGTGGATATACGCTTTTGATATTCTGATAAAATTCCATGTATATACAGGTACAATATAAATGGTAAACACATCATGCATGTACTTAAATATCTTTTCTACCCAATGGATGGCACTACATATCGATGCATAAACATGCAACAGTTTCTAAAGGTAAAGCATATACTTTAAAGAAGTATAACATAAAATGTAAACAAGAGTATTAAAAAATTATGAATTTTAAAATAAAGTAGGGACCCTGCTACAAAAATTAATGAAACAAAAATTATAACCATAATCACAAATTTATAAAAGTTATGATTTTCCTAAATGAAAATGTATTTCCAATAGGTACTTTCCTTCTCTCACAAGATAAGCTTTTCTCGTTTTGTCCTGCCCTCTGTATGCAAAATTTTTCAGAAATGCATGCCACAAGCCTTCATCATCCCTCTGTTGGAATCCAAAGTTCCAACATGTCGCTCATGCAAAAAATCATGCATCACCTCTCCACCAATAGGAGAGCACTACTATCATGTGACGCATGTTACTCCCTCTAAGCACCACTAACAAACTCAATTCGAAGTTTAGCAGAAGACATTAGCACTGGAAGATTGTGGGGAGGACAGGTGGGAAGTGTTCTCTCAGAGGGAAGTACCTATTGGAAATATATTTTCATTTAGGAAATAATAACTTCTGATAAGGTACTCTCCCTCCACTCACAAGATCCCAGATTGAAATGGAGAAGAGACTGGTGCGAGAGAAGCACAGGTGTATCCCCCAGAATGAGAGGAAAAGTTCAGAGGATCTGAGAAGAGCATTGCACCACATTTGAGCCAGGTATCTGTTTGCCAGGAACATCGACATGATCAGGAAGATAATACATGGCAGAACATGAAGGGAGCACATCCGCAATGTGATCTTAAATAGAAATTAGAGTCACTGAATCCCACAATGGAAAGTGGACAAGTGAGGATGTGTCCTATGGTGTAGAGTGCCTAGGGTGTGACAGACTATACTTGGTAAGTCAACTACATCCAAAACCTCACTTGCTGGATACTGACATCCTCCCAAGGGTAGAATGAGGATCATACCATCTTCACCTCAAGTCCCAGAGTAAAGAGGGAACCTAATATTTGACTCCAGGAACTCACAGGGTAGCCTAATGCCAGAGATCTGTGAATGTGTCATCCAGAATCCCATCCTATGCACACAACCCCGTGACCATGAAACTAGTCCAAAACGACCTCAGGTTGGTAACAACCTCGTCACCAAATGAGGGAAACCCAGGAAAGAAGTGTAAATAGGCCACATAGACCTTCTGCGACCCACAACACAGAAGACACGTCGAGAGGGGAAGATGGACAAACT